TTTTTTTGATAATATGAAGGGTGTCTACCCGAGTCACAGAATTTCTAGCTGGTGAATTTCTCTCATTTTCTAATATAGTTTTGTTGTGCAACACAGCTGCACTTCATTTTGCCATGATTTCAATTTACCTGTGTGCTCACACCAGAGACCTTAATTAGCCCATGTCAATCCCTATTTGTTATTTTATCAGTTATTTTTGAAACACACACATACATACACAAAATCACTGGAACTAAACACTGTTGGTTAGCGTGTGTTTACAAATGCTTGAGACATATACCAAAGGTTCAGAAACCTATTGCTTTGGACTATGAATATGTTTCCTTCTCTTTGCTCTTATTTATTTAAGTGCCATACTGTACCTTTTACATCCACTGTGTATTTAGTTAAAGCTTGACCAAGAGTAATATTTGGATAATGTGCTTTTATGAGCCCTGTTTCTTTTGCATTATCATTATGATTTTTTATTTAGATATGGATGCAGTGTAACACACAACTGAGCATTTGATTAAAATAAAGTTCTTGCCTTTTTTTGCAAAATGGGAAGTCTGCAGTTTTCTAATTTTGGTTGGGGTTCTACTTATTTAAATATATGTTCAAAATTTTTATTACATATTTGTAAAAGTAGAACATTTGGAGCAGAAAGTGAGAGATGGATGAGTAGTATTTCAGGGATGACCAATAAAGCCCAATTAGCCACTAACAAATGAGAGGAGCCTGGTACATTTTATGAATGTTTAGAAGAGTGGGGTGAGTTATTCAAATAGCACTTATTAACTCCTTTCCATTTTAGCCCAAGATTTCTGTTGTGTGTTTTTCCTGAGGCTATTTTTTGTAATAAAATGCCAATGTTATATCACATTAGCTCATTCTGGAAGTGAATTTTTTCCCCTTTCCACCATACTTTCCTGTCATGGATTGTCAGATACAGCATGCTGGGCCCTCCATCATCTCTTTAAGTCGTGATGTATAAAATGATGCTAATTCAGTAGTCAAGCAGAACCTTCTAGACCAGCACTGTTCAATGCAACTGTGTGTAATAATGGGAATTTTAAACTATCTTTGCTGTTCTATATGGCAACGACTATTGAGCTCTTAAAATGTGGCTAGTGCCACTGAAGAACTGATTTTCTAATTTTATTTAATTTTAATTAAATAGCCATATATGGTTAGTTGCTACTGTGTTATACAACATAGTTCTAGACTTCTAATCATTTATTTTGAGGTTCTTTCAAAGGAGATTGAACCTTTGTTTATATGTCATAAGATATTACATTTTAGCCACATATTTTACTGTTGTTTTTGGCATTTTCTGTCTGCATGTGGTCCCATTAGTTCAGTAAGCTAATGCCCTTTCCCAATTCTTTAGTACTGTTTACCTTCTAATTCTAGTGAGCACTTGGTCTGAACACTGTGAAGCATTGTGGAGTTTCCCAGATGACTGTTTTTCAAACACAATTGTTGCACCTTTAACTATGGCAGAGCAGATGCCAATTTTAGAATGAAAATGTGTTTACTTCAATCTATAGGTTTCCATCTGCAGTATAAATAGGCAGTTGAAAATAATTATTCTTGAGTACAGAAACAGATCCTCCTCTGTTTTGTGTTTGGTAAGCTAAAAATGTTTTAAGACACCTCCCAGACATGAAGGAAGAGTGTTGCTTGAGACTTCTTAGCATATGCTTGGGTGTGAAAGAAGTAGGGTTCTGTGTGGAAAACAAGGGCTGTTGTATTTTTGCAGTGATGTATGATTAAAATAATAGTAATGTTTCCTGGTAGAAATACATTCCACATTAGTGGGCTGGATCTCTTTCTTCTCAGCATATAGGGTCATCCCTCAGAATGACTGATGTGTGTCAGTCTGATTCTTTTGCTTTCTATTTAATGAAGGAAATACACTGATGATTTGATGTGATGAATGTGACCTTAATCTGTACTTTGTGGGAGGACAGCACCAATATCTTCTTTCAAATTTAAGAGCCTTTTGGTGAACTATGGGCCCTTCTGGCCTGTGTGAGCATGTGTGCATTTGTGTGTGTGTGTGCGTGTGTGCACATGTGCCCTTTGGTGTAGACAGTTGGTGTCAATGCATGAACTGGGTTTAAAATTTGAAGAATGGCCTGAAGAGAGTGAAGTTACTTAGCCAGGAAAAAAAGAGAAGCTGAAAGTACAGAATTTGTCATTTTTAAGTCCTCACGTATTTAAAGGGTTAAAGGCGCTAACGGCTGTACTCTCTGAGCTCTGAGGACAGAGGGAAAGGACTGGACTTAGAACTGAGGGTGGGAGGCTAGGACAGTACCAGCAAGAACGTGGTTTCTCTGTCACCTCTGCTTTTGTTTAATGCTGTCTCTTCTGCAGGGAATACCTGTCCCATCACCACCTTTTGCTGGGTATGTTCCTCTCCACCCTTAAGATAAGTGGCTGTCCACTCACACAGGAGCCTGTTCTAAACTCTCCTCAGACTGGCTTAGTGCCCCTGTGCTGAGTCTCCATAAAATCACTCTGTCACTTGCTGCCGGGAGATGAGACATTTCTAGATCCTTGTGTGGCTCCTGGAGGGTAGGAACTGTGCCTTACCCATGGGAACCATGCGAGCATTTATCAGCTTCATCCCATTTACCACCAGAAAGATGGGAGCCTCAGCCTTCCATCTAGGAACAGTCTGGTAGACTCAGAATGTATGAAAACTAAAAGCATCCTGTGACGACATTAAGTCAAGCCCTTTATTGTACAGTTGAAGAGACCAAAATATGTAAAATCAGCACAGCAGCTTTCTTGGAAAATACTGTGAGCATTCATCTGGGAGGATTGGACTATTTAGGAAACAATATTTATACTGGCTTTACTTTCTTTGTATTTCACCAAATATGTTAGTCTGCTTGGGCTGCCCTAACAAAATACCACAGGCTGGGTGGCTTGAGCAGCAGAAGTTCATTTTTCACAGTCTGGAAGCTAGAAGCCCAAGATCGAGATGTCAGTACATTTCATTTTCCTGAGGCCTCTCTCTTTGCCTTGCAGATGGTCACCTTCTCACTGTGTCCTTGCACGGTCTTTGTTGCACACACATGTATCCTTGGTGTCTCTCTATGTAACCAAATATCCTCTTCAAGGAGGAGCCTAGTCAGATTGGATTAGGGCCCACCCTAAAGACTGCATTTTAATTTAGTCACCTCTCTGCAGACCCTGTCTCTAAATACAGTCACATTCTGACCTGGAAGAGCACAATTCAGCCAATAATACTAAGTATTTTCAAATCTGTAGGTACCCTTATGGTTAGGGAGGGGTATGTAATTTATTTAGTGTACACAATGGGATACCTTAGATAATGAAAGGGGCAGGGTAGCTAATGGAACGAAACACCAGAACAATAGGTATAAGTTGAATCTCTCTTGAGCAAACCAAGTTGTATATTTAAGACAATAAAGAGCCATTGAACCCATGTCCCAGGGCCTGGAACTCTGGAGATAATTATAATACCTAAATCTCAGTTATTGAGAAGGGTTGTCAAAGCTACTTCTCAGATAGAAAGGTGAAAATTTATGTCAATAATAATGGAATAATAGTACTGTATTTAAAAAATACTAATGCCTTTGGCCCAGAATACCTCAGTTAGAATCCCTGAGGCTGTAGCCTACACATTGATATTTATTATTTTTTATTCCTCGGGGATTTGAATGTGTAATCATGGTGGAGAGCAACTGATTTGGAGATACTAGCATGAAATTATGAGAATCAGATGTTTGAAGGAGAAATTGGGAAAGGAGAGCAGGGAAGTATGAAATTGTCACAAAAGAACCGCCCCGTTTACATTGCCTGTGAAGTTAGTGATGAGAAGCTGTGGATGGATAATCAATGGTGATCCTCAGGGCTTTAGGAGAGGAGGCAACGGCCATGGCAGCGAGAGGAGCTGACCAAGGCCAGAACC